GAAAACTGTCTGAAAAAAGCAAAGATACAGCTGAACTAGTTGAAACATCCTGTTTAACTAAGAAGAATCTGGTTCTTCTCTGATGAAAATAATTCTTGTCAAGATCACCTGTAAAACATCCAGAACAACAGATGGCTTGCCTATAATCCATATAATGTTCCTCGTGTCATTAACAACAAGTTTCCCAAAACTGTGATGGTTTTTCGTCCTGTCTCTAGTGAGAGTGATACCATGCCACATCATCTCATTGAGCATTGTCTCAGACTAAATTCGGATGGCAATGCGAAGTTCTTGAACACCGTGTTTAAGCCATGATGGAGAGGCTGTCTGCTGGAAGACCGTATGTGTTGCAGCAAGATTCAGCCCCCGAGTAGACCATCGGGTAGAGTAAGAATTGGTTTTCAGGTAATTTTCATATCACCAATTCCAACTTCTTGCTCCCTAACTCCTATGATTGCAATCCCATGGTAAAATACATCAAGTACACTGCCTGTAAAACAAAAGCTCAGTAGATCGAGAGGAATAAGGAAGCGTTTTAAACTCTTCCTGGGGAAATTGTGAAGACTGCATATTTTACATTCAGGAGTCGGATCGATACCGTGGCAAATTATGAGCGTCGCTTCTTTGATTGATTTTTTTTTATTATTATTATAACCTAGATGGCAGTTGTATATTTTCTCAATAAATTGATTAGAGGCTTAGATATTCATTTTGTTTTCCTTTAAAAATCTGTCAAATTTAGACAGAAAAACCTGTATGTACGTGTGGTGAAACTGCATTTACGAATAGAATTAGTCGACTAAGTGATATAATTTATCTCGTCGTTGATACTACACACACACACACACACACACACACACACATATATATATATATATATATATATGAATAATGATTTGATATCACAGAAAAAATACATAGATTTGAATAAACACAATTTTAAGCTCATTATTATTATTATTACTTTTTTGCAAATTTTTCTAGTCAACCTTTAGATTTCTAAGTTTACTATTTCTTTAGGGACCGATCATTGGCACAACGGTCCCTGTAGAAGAGTTTGCAGAAAGGTTGCTAAGGTCCTAACTAAAAAGTAATGGACATAAAATTATATTTATTCATATATATACATATATATATATAATAATCGACTCTCCCGTCGCGTTCGACGTATGAGGGTCAGGCCGATAAGTCCCCAGGAAACCAACATCCCGACACCGGCACATGAGATTTGTTTATAGTGGTGAAGGCCTTGTGCAGGACCAGCCACAGTTTTTGGAGGGACGAATACAGAATCCTGGTGCACCGAATGCATGCCACAAGGTTCCCAAACGACCCTCCGCAGGTTTTGAATTCAGAGTTGTCCTTCTCCTAGATCAGTTGCCATCCAAGGCTATAGAACCCAGTCTGTCCTAGAGCTGGAGGGAGATGAAGAGGATTCATACCTTTCCCAAGGGTATTAGCACGTAAGTGAATGCAGTGGATTCGACTGGAATTCGAACTCGGCTCTGCGATTCCTCAATCAAGCATTTAACCATTTTTCCATAATAACCTCTTATATATATTTATATATAAACAAGTTTAGTTTGAAAAAGAAAGAAAGAACTGATAACATCGGTATACTTAGCTTAATTTTCAGGTGAGATTTACACTATATTCTTCGGAATGTTAAATCTTTTATTGTCACATTCCAACTTTCAAACCGTTGTGGATATATTTCATTTTCTTAAGGTACACACGTTACCCAAACGTTATAAATAAATACAAGAAAGATCAACCCTTTAGTCCGAACAAATAATTAGTAGACATAGTTGCAATAACTCGTCTTAGAAATATAGTCAGATGCTTCGTATAAGATGCTGAGTATTATATCCGAAGTTGCGGCAAAAGTAAATAAATCGCATTCTTTTTCTATAGCCGCGTTCCAAATAGAAGTTACACATGACGACACGTTCGACCATTTCACGCAATCAGCGTCCTAAGGAATATCAAGATGTAGACAAATGAGTGAAAAAATATCACACAGATACCACATTGGTTCTTGATAATGACTGACATGTCGAAAGTACTTGAATAAAAACAAAAAATTTGGAACAAAATATGAAAATATGAACTTCGGTCTGTTTATCCACAACTTTGAACCTAAAACTTAAACATCCGAAATCTTAGTTGAAATATAAAGTATAATAATAATAATAATAAAATAATAATAATACCAATATATATATATATATATATATATATATATATATATATATATATATATATATATATATGTCATTAATATAAATGGTAGTACAGATAAAACAAGACGAAGCAATCTTAAAGTGTTTAAGCTCCAATCCAGTAAAAAAACAAAACCCAAAATGAATAAAAAAAGACAACGGCGTAGAGTGCTCAATACTCTAAATAGAGTATAAATTAGAATAATCCTAAGGAGCCAGGCAGACCTACCTATTTTTTTCACCTAAACAGATCTTCAGGCTAAAGCATTAAATTGAGGATTATACTAGTATATAAACTAAATATATATATATATATATATATATATATATATATATATATATATATATATATAAAAGAAAATTAAATGGATATAAATCCGACAGAATGAAGAAATTATGAAAAAAAAACAAACAAAAATCCTTAAATGAATTAAAATGAAAGAAATGTCGACGTCTGACGTTTCGGTTTAATAAAATTTTTCAAGACAATATTCATCAAAATACAATTCAGTTCAATATGACAAATACGATGGACAAAAAACACAAGTCTTATTCAGAACAGATAACAAATGAAAATTTTTAAAAAAAAATCAGCTTTCCGTCTAACATGTTTCACGCCGTCGTCACATGGGCGACGCTTTCATAACGTATTCCTAAAAGTTTGTGATTATTTTAAAAATTAAAAAAAAAAATGAAAAAAGAATTCTGGAAGGTTCTAAAATTCTTATGTGTTAATTTTGTCGAGCATCAATCTCGCTAAAAGGGGAAATATTAAAAGAAACCAGAAATAGTATTCACCGTCTAGTATCCATCATTCACGCACGGTGAATACTAAACAATATGGTTTCTTTTAGAATTTTATTGTCTTGAAAAAGGTTTATTAAAGAAAAACGTCAGACGTCGACATTTCTTTCATTTTTTTTAAATTTAAGGATTTTTGTTTGTTTTTTTCAAAAAAAAAATTCATATATAAATATATATATATATATATATATGTGTAATTGTGTGTTTTCGATAATTTATTTTATTCTCTAACATTATCTCATCGTTCAACTAATCGGGATTGGTTTTAATGACTTTTCAAATATGTTTTTCCTTCTTCATTTTCAGGGATTTTTTTTTTTTGAATGAGTTTTTCTTTTTAATTTTGGATGTCAGTTTTCGAACCCGAAGAAGCAACAAAAACAATTCTGTTATGAAATTTCATCGCCTTGTCACATATGTTTTCCTTCGACGTTCGTCGGCGTCCATTGCTGCCAGGCAAAATGGCGACACAGCCCAGACTCATCCGACAGAAGACGAAGATAATCAATCCGCTAAAGGAATAATTTTTTCCAACTAAAATAAAGATATGGGAACAGGAACAACTCTTGGAATAAAATTAAGAGGAATAATAATAGGAGGATAAGGAGGAAGGGGAAAATATATTAATTGAATCTGAAAAGAGAAAAAAATAAATAAAAAAAAACGTGTTGTAAGAAAAATACAAAGTCATTTTTCATAAGACGTTCGCATTAAACCCTCAGTTACAAAATCGATAATATATCTGATATGGTGATAAGCCACAAATCTAGCTCTTTGTTTCTATCGCTCTCTGACTGTATATGTATGTCTCTCTGTAGCTATATAATTATCTATCTATGAAGTAATATAGTCTTAAGGTCTGCTATATTTATGGGATAAAGTGCTCGATATTAGAGACAGAGTGTTGACTTCTATGTTCACTTTTATAATTATCTATCTATAGATTCATATGACGAGCAGATATGGACGTTCGAGGAAATTAAAGTGAAGTTTTAAAAAAAGCAGAAAAATTGAAAAAAAAAAAACCAGAAAAAAATGTTTAGTTAAATCACTGATTATAGCACGCCAAATATATGAAGGTTCAGTATATGAAAAAGGTCTGATACCTGGTAAAAATTTACACATATTTTCTATGGAAATTTCGCGGACATTCAGGCCGGAAAATGTTGTTAATACTGTTTATTGTAACAGCGTAAATGCTTGTGTATATATAAATAACGTATGGCAATTAAAATAATTAATAATAACATATCTTCATTCACACACACACACACATACACGTATGTATATATATATATATATATATATATATATATATATATATATATATATATATATATATGTATGTATGTATGTATCATATGAATCGGAATACGAGATAATAAGTTTAAGGACAAATAGGAAACGTTTATCGATTTTTTTATAATTCTTTCACTTTTATTACTGCTTCATCAGAAAATGAAATTTGGAGAAAGTGAAGAAGAATTTTTTTTTCATTTATGTTGTTTGATTTTTGTTGGTCAATCCTGTTTCAGGCGCATTCGACTCTTTGAAGCAACACTTTTTAAACTATGGAGCGTGACCCGACATGTGGCAAAACTAAATGCTCGGATCGCGTAAATTAAATTTCAAGCCTTGAATTTCAGTTTCTATGTTATTTCCCAAACGTCCAATATTTATCGTGATGCGCCACGCATGCGCTGCGGTAATAAAACGCGCTCGCGACGCCATTGTGACTCGTGCAGTGACAACGGATGTTTTTTCAGGGTAGTTGGTTAGTACCTCGGGTCGCCAAAAGTCTAGGCATAAAAAATGGAATCATGAATGAAAAAAAAAAGGTTTAAGAAACAGTCCTTTAAACTAGCGTTACTATAATTTGTGACGTTGCGAATTAAAGGAAGAGGGATGTGTCCATCCGGAGTTTCAAGAAAATAGCGAATTACAATCCTATCTGAAAAAACATCATCACCCAAATCATAACGAACAAAAAACACAGATAGATAGATAGATAGATAGACAAATAGATAGGTACTCAATTGAGATAGATTGATAGATATTAAAGATAGATAGATAGATAGATAGGAACTTATTAAGGTAGATAGATAGATCCGAACTTACTAAGGTAGATAGATAGATAGACAGATAGATAGATACGAACTTACTAAGATAGACAAATAGATAGATACTCAATTGATATATATTAAAGATCGATAGATAGATAGATAGATAGATAGATAGATAGATAGATAGATACGAACTTATTAACAGATAAATAGATAGGTATGCTTGAGAACGCGACTGCGTGTTTATATCCAAAAGTTTGACAAGTATAATCATAACAATAATAGTAAAGAAAATAATAATAGTAGTAGTAATATATATATATATATATATATATATATATATATATATATTGTGTGTGTTATGTGTGTGTGTGTGTGTGTGTGTGTGTGTATACAAATGTTTGTTATGTTTTTATGATAGTTTTCAGGTACTTTTAAAGGTTTTGTACAGAAGTAATATATTTGGAAAATCATGTAATATAATGATTAATTAAAATATATTCGTATTTTATAGATCTTATATCAATGTTATGTACAAAAAATTGTTTGTTATTTATATCTTCATATATATATATATATATATATATATATATATATATATATATATATATATTAATTCCAATGTGCGTAACATTTAATCAATATTATTTATTTAGTTTTTTACATCGCATGAGGAGACACATTTTTGTGTTGAAACATAATTTCCATTATGCAACGATTTTGAACATAAAATATATATATATATATATATATATATATATATATATATATATATATATATAAACCTAGTGAGCAAATAAACCTACCCAGGTTTCAAACCTAAGATCGGATCGAAAGGGAAATTTGGAAAGAAGTTTATTTAGGTCTGCTCTACGGTTGTATTGAGCTCTTTTGTTAGTTAGTTGTTTACTCGTATGTTTTTTTCTTTGGGCTTTAAACCTGCATCTGTGCGATTTTTTTTCGACAGACTTTCATGTTTGTAGCTCTTTCTTTTTTTAAAACCTTTTTTTTTCCCTCGAGATTTATTTGATTATTGGCAAATCAAAAATTCGAGGTTTTCAAAAACAAGTATTACACACACACACACATATATATATATATATATATATATATATATATATATATATATATATATATATATATATATATAATTTATTATTGTGTGTCAAAAATATGCGCGTACGTATTTGTATGGAAGGTTTTTATGTGAATTACGTATTATTCTTATCTTATGGGTGTTCTACGCCAGTAGAGATCGTCTTAATCATGTCAGGTGCCTAATACCCACGAAAACCTAGGACGATAATGGCAACCTGCTTGGGAGCCTTGAGCAGAGTTTGCCGACACTCTGTACCTTATCAACGTTACCATTTTTTTTCTACTTATATTTGTATACCTTGAAAATTAAACTAACTAAAACTAACAGTTAAATGACGAAACATTTTCCCAGAATTTGTCGTTATTCTAGAGTCTTTATTTGGCGTCCATATTCGTCAATTTCTCTTGTTCATGTTATGTCTCGAAAAAGGGCAATATAAAATTAACAATTCTTTTTACCCGTGATGTTGAATGTGTTCAGTATTTTAACAAGGAAAATATCAAGTTTATATTAATCATTGCCGCATGGATTATTGCTGTCATATATGGTCTGGAACCCCTTCTGTTTGCCTCCGGTTCCTGATAATGTGACGTCCCCCTCTCGTTCGGGTGTCGCCGCTCCAAACGTGACGTCCTCCTGTCTGCGTCAGACGCGCTATCCCGTCTTGTGACGACCAACTGGCTTGGTATTGGTCGCGGCACCCAAATGTGACGTTCTAAACTTTTGGTGATTCGGATGGGAATCTGGTTAGATTCGATATCAGCCTCGTCGTTCCCAACTCGCCTCCAACGTCTGGTTACCGAAGTAACTACTTTGATCTCCAGTCTGCCTACCTACGTTGTGAATTGATCTAGGCAGACGAAATCAATCAGTCGCTGGGGCCGTAATGCAAGCTGAGTTCGAATAAGGGCGATATCGCACAAGTATATGCAAAATAAAATAAAATAGTAACTCGAAAAGTTCAAATGTGTTAAAAAGGATAACAATGTTTTATATCTGGTTGCTGAATATAGGACTACGTCTTTCTCCCAAACCGCTATATGGATTCGTGACACGTTGTTTTTGTTAGGCGAGTCTTAACATCTTAAGTTGTCTGTTCTTTAAGAAATTGGTTCTTGGTGTGTCTTGAGGCGATATTCGTAAAACTTGTTTTGGTGGTATGAGTCTAAGTCATTCTTCAAAAATAAATTGTTCTTGGTTAGAAGTCTAAGTCGGAATTGCGTGAATCTTTCACGCTAATGCGTAGTGGGTCTTCAGAGCTCTCAACTAAAACTCGAAAAAAACTGAACTGAACTGATTTTCGCTCGCTGCGACTTTGCTTATATGGACGCTAACCAAAACCGGGGTGGGCTTTGTCGGGGTTTGAGGTTCCTTGATAATTCTAAATCCACAATCCCCTTCTTTTGTTTTCGGTCAGGAAAAATTTATTATTTCCATTTTTGGAAGTCTTCTCTTACTCCCACCTTCTTCTGTTCTCATATGGGTATCTCACCATACCCTCAGAAGACGTCAACGGTTTTCCCACTCCTTCGCAGTAACATCTCATACCTATCCCCTCAATGGGTGGTGGCAAGCCTCCCCCACCCCTGCATCACATGATCACCTCCGCCTGACTCTCGTTAACATTCAGTCAATAGGCGTTCAACAGTGTGGGTGTGATCACACTAGCGTTGTTTTTTTTAAAAAAAAAATATCTTGCTCAAAGAAAAAAAAATATCTCCTCTTTTTCTTTTTCTATTTCTTTTCATTCTTTTCTTTCTCTCTTCTTCTCTGACCGCCAACAGAACAATACGACCCGTAGTGTGATAATCTCAATTCTTATCCCAATGTCACTTTCATATGGAATTCGTCAATCAGATTTTCGCCAGCACCAAGTGGCTGGTCAACCAGACACACTCACTCTCCGGCGTCACCCACTGATATGATAAAACGACTTTCACCAATTCACAGCCGAATTCATATGGAAGTCGTCAACGAAAATTTCGCCATTTTCTGATAATATTGTTTCGATGTCATAGTCAAATTCCAACACAACCAGATGTCTTTTCTCTCAATGACACCCTGACATTGACAAAGACTTAACCTAGGGTTGGGTTCTCTTTGTGTGTGGTCAGGACATTCTTATTTATCGGTCAACGGAATATCTTTTCCCGATAATATAAGTTCGCCACCATGACACAGTTAATTTTTTATCTATTCAAAACTCTGTATCTTGTTATTTGGCCCACCTGGGATTTGTCAATTAGCTTTTCGACAATGGCCACAGAAATTTTCACCATTCTTCATTATCAGAATAACATCGCTAAATGCCGCTTTTGTGATGGCTTTTCTTTATCATCTAAGTTTTAAATGGGGTGCCGTTGAGCGAAACCAAAGATGAACTGAAAGCAAGGATTCGGGAGCAATCACTAAATTAATCAAGGAGACCGTCTAGAAGAGTTACAGGAGATTCCGAAGGTGTCCGGAGGTCGTGGTTGAAGTAAATGGCGATTTAATTGAATAAATTTACTCTTTAATATTTCAAGATATTTTTTGTGTCATTTTGGTAAATATATCTATTAAAATGAGATGTCAGTATTATTTTCATTTTGGCGCCAATTAGACGACAATTTATCCATCGCAGCCTGTATATCCGGCGCTTGCTTCAGAACCGCGAGGGCGGGGTAGGTTTTAATAAAATCAGTGCAATCATTAGAGATATGTCTTCAGATCAGTCGGTCTCCAATTGAGGGTCATCCGAAATATCTAAAAATAGCTCCCATCTCAATTCAAACTTACAAAAATCAACCCTCTCGACACTCCTGAATAAAATCTACACATTTTGTCAAACCCTAGGGGACATACTGAACTGGGAATCAGGAATAAACGTGAACAGGGTATTTACTGTAGCCTATATTATTTCCCCAAGATATGACATATACGTGATAACGCACTCAATTACGATTAAAAGTCACGAGGCACAAGCCTTCTATTTATTATTATTATTATTACGATCTGCTTTGATTTCTGTTGTTTAGTCTATTTCAAAATCCCAAATAGAGACTTAAGTTTAGAAATGGCGTCATGACATTTTCCCCTGCTCATTTTTGTAAAAAGAAAAATAAGATCAAACGCATTTTATATAGATAAGGCACTTTGTAATGCGTGAGTTGTAATTTTGTGTACAATATTTTGTACTCCTTTAAGGCATTTCGCTACCAAGAATCTCTTCAATGAATCTATCCAACCAAACCCAGGCTTCAAACTACAACTGGAATATTCCAGACTTTTTATATTTCCATTTCAAGATCCATGTATTCTGACAGTTTTTTGAAGACCTTCAAAGACACATTACAATCTGCAGGGAATGCCTTGTCAATAAGAAAGCATATTCTATTTTTATGAACTTTGACCAGGGTGTCTGGGCGATTAGATTTGATTGTTCTGTCTGTATTGTAAAGCCTCATAAAATTGTTTCAGGTCCTATATCTGTACGATTTTCTTGCAGTTCCTTTCCCTTAATAAATATTACTATTTTTTTTTAAAGATCTTCAAAGACACATTACAATCTGCAGGGAGTGCCATGTCAATAAGAAAGCATTTTCTGTTTTTATGGAGTTTGATCAGGATGTCTGGGAGATTAGCTTTGATTGTTCAGTCTGTATTGTAAAATCACATAAAATTGTTAGATGTGCTATATCCGTAACCGGCTCTGGTTGATGTTTAAACCAGTTACTTGCAGTTTCCTTCCCGTAAAAGTTGCATATATTCCAGTGCCGCTTTTGGCCCACACTGTCACGCCGAGATTTTGATTCAGTGGGTGCTAATACCTTGCAACCTGATAAAAGATTGTCAAGTGGTTCTGGATATTTATCACATAATCTACATTTCGCTTTGACAATTATTCAGTATGTGTACTTGATATTTTTTAGTTCGCAAGAACTGGTCCTGTGCAGCAAGAATAACATTTTTGATTTTTAGCTTTTAACCTTGCACTACGTAACCAGTGATGGGTACGCAGTTTATCAACATCAGCTTGCTTGGCACGGATTGAGTATTGAACACGAAGAGTATTATCTTGCCATCGTTTTTGCATTATGTCTATTACATTTTCTTTTGATTTCTTTCATAGGTTCTTTGCCGTCACAGTAGGTATAATATGATTTATATGCATTCTTCAATCAGATGAAATTGTTTTTGGGTAAGTTCACCGCCATAGATTCACAATTCAAGTCAATAATCGAGTTCTTCGAATCGTAAATTCCGTGGAGCATCAATTGAGTTGAGTTCTTCGAATCAGAACTCGGAGGAACTTCAAAACCCAACGTCACGATTCCTTTCCATTTAGCTCAGGATTTCTTGGCATTTTGAAGAAATAAATTTGATTTATTCAAATCGCAAAGTTTTGGAGATAGTTTAAACTGAATTTAAAACATTTTATTTTAAATTCACAAAGTTTTGTGTTACATTAAACTCAATATAAATTTTCCAAACAATTTAAATTTGAATTTTTAACTGTTCGCTCCTCTTTCGAATATCAATAACCAGTGTTGTATGTTTTCAAACACAAGATGAAGAGCAGACTTTTCCCGGGATGCACCCATATTCCAAAAAGTTATACGTACATATAGAGCAAATGTGGCCCGAGTTAGAGGTGTTTCAGACAACGGACGGACAGTGAGAATTTGTTGATTTTTAAATTTTTTTTTATTATTTAGATTAGAAATATAAGTTTTAAATTAAATTAAAATGCATAATGCTAGTAAATATTCACTATTAAAAAATATTTTGGATACGTTGATCAATAAATGGCAATTTTTTTAAAAGCTTTCTTCTTTTACGGTGAACTTTCCTCGCGGTGAAAATTCCTTGCGGTGAAAATTCCTCGCGAAATTAAAGAAAGACAAAGAAAGAAAAAACTATAGAAAGAGAGTTAAAAGGTAAATAAAACAAGAAAGAATGAAAGAAAGAAGATAAAAGAAAGAAAGACAGAAGTAAGAAAATAAGAAAAAGAAAGATAAAATATAAGATACAGAAAAAAATAGATGAAAAAAGGAACCTGAAAGAAAATAAAAAATTAAAGAAAGAAAGAAATAATGTCAGAAAGAAAATAAAAAAAAGAAACGTAATGAAAAGTTCAAATTAATAAAATTAAAGAAATGTAAAATTAAAGAAAGCAAATCGGAACGAAAAATACATAAAATGAAAATTAATATAAATAAATAATAGAAATAAAATAAAAGAAATATCTGGTAAAACAATTAATGATAGAAAGAAAGAACTATAAGAGAAGCGTTTAATAAAGAAAGAAAGAAAGAAAATAACAGAATACAAATTAAGAGAAACTGAAAAAAAATCAAAGGAAGATTAAACAAACAAAAAATGTTAAAAGGAAGAAAATGAAAGAAAAGTATCATATCTGAAAGAAAGAAAAAAGAACGATAAAAAGAAAAAAAGAAATAAAGGAAGAAATAACGATAGAAATAAATAAATAAATAAATAAATAAAGAAAGAAACAAAGAAAGATCGATTGATAAAAAGAAAGAAAGAAAGAAAGAAAGAAAAAAAGAAAGAGCGATGGGAAGAAAAAGAAATAAAGGAAGAAATAACGATAGGAAGAAAGGGAGAAAGATCGATGGATAAAAAGAAAGAAAGAAAAAAGAACGATAGGAAGAAAAAAGAAATAAAGGAAGAAATAACGATAGAAAGAAACAAAGAAAGAAAGAAAGATCGATTGATAAAAAGAAAGAAAGAAAGAAAGAAAGAAAGAAAGAAAGAAGGAAGAAAGAAAAAAGAAAGAACGATGGGAAGAAAAAAGAAATAAAGGAAGAAATAACGATAGGAAGAAAGGAAGAAAGATCAATGGATAAAAAGAAAGAAAGAAAGAACGATATAATGAAACAACGATAGAAAGAAAGAGAGAAGAAACGACAGAAAGAAAAAAAGAAAAATCAAAGAAAGGTGAATAAAACAAGAAAGAATGAAACAAAGAAAGAAAAAAAATTAAAAGGAAAAAAAGAAAAAAAAGAAAGAACGAGAACATGAAGAATAAATGGTTGAAAGAAAGACAAGTAAAGAAAAGTAAAATAAAAGAAAGAAGGAACGAACGAACCAAAGCAAAAAGCAGAAAAAAATGAAAGAAATTATAAAATAAAGAAAAGTGAAAGAAAAAAATGAAAGAAAAAGAAAAAGGAAGAAATTGATGTAGGTTAAATTAATAAGAATGAAAGCAAAGAAAAGAAATCAACAAACAAAATACAAAAGGGAATCAACTACTTAAAAAGAAAAAAAGATTATTACATAGAAAACAACAGAAAAAATATAAAGAAACAGAAACAATATAATACCAAAAAAAAACTACTTCATTTAAGCATCTTTGAATGTTTTCGATTGACGCTTGTCAGTCTCTCCTCAATATTGCGTTTCAAAGCAACATAATTGACATCTGATAGTCATTCACTTGTGGCCTTTATTTCAGGGATCATGCAACCAGCCTTAAAATGTTTCATCCAGTTAAGGCAAGTACAACTAGATATTCTTTCATTCCATTCCACTTATCAAATTCTGTGAGCAACTTCAATGGCATTTAGGGTAGGCGTAAAAAGAGATCTAAAGAATTGACCGGATAGAATATGTGTATTCACCATTATTATATGTACACCCAAGGAATTCGTGCTTACGAGCATAACAAGGTGAGACACCGGCTTTCGTACAATCACCTTGTTAAGAAATGTAGAGCTTGGTCAGTACATAGATGGGTGACCGTATGTGAATATCAGGTGCTCGGAATTGTTAATCGGAGAGCCGAGTTCCAATTCCGATTGGGTTCGTCATATTCACTTACGTGGAAATACCCATGAAAAAGTATTGTGTGATAGAAAAACAATTAGCATATAACTTAGGCTAAATCTAGGCGTTTCAACTATAAAATGGTGGAAAACTACCGCCAATCTAGTTATATGCTTAAATTCATAAAGTCTACGTATTATAGACGTAAGTTCAGCATAAACTATTTTCATGAAAATATTTTTAGAAAGGGTACAGGGAAGCTACATTACGTAGGTTTGAAAGTGGCTGAAGCCGAAATGCTAGGTAAGGACTAATAACATTGCAGATACTTCATTGGATTTTATCAAGAATCTCTAAATATAGAGCAGGAGTATCAGATATGGTAGTAAAATTCAAAGCAAGGAGGTATAGAAATATGTATGATAGATTTTGCCGGGAAAAATGTCTAGCACGGCACAGTGAACTAAATTAAATAAATGCTGACTTGGCAGTAGATTCAATATAAACTTTCCACATCATGTCAGCTGAAAATATTATAGTAATATATTATTACTGTTATGGGACCTTGCCCATAAGAACATAATGGGCTATTCCATATGTAATAAATACTGCGCCTCAAGAGGAAGCAGGGAGTTCAGTCTGAAGTCGGGCAACCGGCTGACCGGCTGATCGGTTGAACTCTCTGCCGAAAGAGGCTACGCCGAAGGGCGGAGTCTCTTTTTGGGGAGGTATACGTGTTGAAAGGGCATATTTTTGGCCGTGCCCACGGGCTCGGAGATCCCACGTTAAACCGGCCTTGAGCTACATACATCCCTCGTGGGGGGGGGACACAAAAAACAATTCAGTCCGATGTCGGACGGCCGGCTGACCTGCTGATTTGTTGAACTCTCTGCCTTCGGGCGGGGAGGAACCCGAACGAGGCTACGCCGAAGAGCGGAGTCTCTTTTCGGGGAGGTAAACCGACCCTGAACCCGTTTATACGGGTTCAAAGAGCATATTTTTGGCCGAGCCAACGAGCTCGGAGATCCCACGTTAAACCGGCCTTGTGCCACATGATGGCCTCGTGGGGGGGGGGACTAAATACCGTTCCGTCTGAAGTCTAGAGTGAGGTCCGTCAGAAGTCCGTCAAGAGTCTGTCAGTCAGTCAGAGCGAGCGAGTCAGTCAGTCGAGTCAGAGGCAGTCCGAAAAAGAGTCGCGTTCAGACAAGTACTACTAAACCTGATTGTTCGTGCTAACACTTTCTACTTCTCTGTATATATTCCTGTTTGTAATATATCTGTGTTATTCCCTACCCGTGTTCGAGTTCTTCTTTATTGGTTCTACCTTGGACTATCACCGTGGTACAAGGAACCGGATTATAAAAGTGGCGAAGAGCGATTCGAACTCATTCGGTGGAAGAAAAAAAATTCTGTTCGCCACACCATAACAATTACTATATTTATATATATGAACTCTTATAATAACATATTTGCACACAATTAAAAAGGTTATTCTAAATATAGGGCATTATTTTCCGCACAACGTAACAACAACGAAACATAGAAACAAAATAGCAGGAAAACTTCTGGATGATTTTGGGGGCCATGATTAAATCTGTAACAAGTTGACTCTCCAGAGGTTCTATACTTATATTAATATCTGCGGGGTATCATGACTTCTTAGGAAATATATTTGAGGGTTTTCCTATTTTCTTCTCCACAGTTTTGGTATTCAAAGATTTTTTGACACTTTTCGTAGCAGAGATATAAAGCACTCCGAATCAAATGGAGGCTTCTCCTACAAAGGTTCAATACCTGCTGGAGATCACCCTTTCTGTTAATAAGATTTCTCGAAGTCAACAGGTCGATAGACGCAATACACAGCGTTACTTAAAAATAATTAATCTCTGGATTTACTGATAATCTCTAAATTATAACCGGACAAACAAACGAAAAGAGCAGCAATTTTGAAATCAAAGAAAGAATGGTAGACTTATAAATATGCAAGATGAATTCGCCAGAATCTATCTTCCATATTAATAACTGGAATTAGAGTTATAAATATGTATAATATATTATGAATAAATATTTATAAATATTCAAGATGTTTTATAAATATGTATTAAATATTATAAATAAACAATTAGAATTCGGCAAAGAAGTGTGATTTTACTATATAGCCAATGTCGGAAATAAAGACAATATCACACATGGTACATAACTGACTGATTTTCTAGTTGAATCCATTATTTACACTAATTACATTCGGAATATTATCCTCATCTTCGTTGTTGTTATCACACAGTTACGGCTCGTCGCTATTTCTCAGGTGTTTATCTGTGTAAATTCTGAACTGAAATCTTTATTTAATCAACTGGGGGGACACTATTCTAGTTCCACTGCTCATCTCAGGAGGCACGGTGGAGTAAAGGATAGCGGCTCGGATTGAGGAATCGGAGAGTCGAATCCATTACATTTACTTTCGTCCTAATACTCTTGGGAAATTTATGAATCCTCTTCTTCTTCCCGTAGCTATGGGTAAATAACAGGAGAGACCGGGTTCTATAACCTTGGATGGCAACTGGTCTACCGCAAAAACAAATGGCAAATTACTGCCGGAAAAAAAAATCGGCCTCGAAAGATACATGATCGCCTAAGCGTGTATCACGCATGGAGCATTACTGACTGACCTTCCAGTTGACTGCATTGCATTCAATTTCGCCCTAATGCTCTTGGGAAATTTATGAATCCTTTTCTTCTCCACTCAGCTATTGGTAAATAACAGGAGAGACCAGGTTCTATAGCAGAAAGAAAGTATAACATATTGCGGGAAAAATTTTGTCTCGTTAGTCATATATCGAAAGATACATGATAGCCCAAGCGTATATCATGCATGACACATAACTGACTGACTGTGTAGATTCATCCTTGACAATTCATTGGTGTTGCTTTGAACAATTTTGTATATAATCCACATTGCTTCAGCTCTTATAATATACACGGTGCCCTTCCAACGTTGAAATATATTTGTAGTCTCGTAACATAGCCAATTATGACTCAAATGATCTCAAATTTTAATACAATGTTTAAAATCTATCATCTGTCTATATCTCTGAGATGGAGTATTATTATTACTTGCATTATTTACATTATTCGGCTGTTATCCTCATCTTCATTGCCATATTCACAACGTTTCGACCGTTTTACGCTCTGACTAAAACTTGATAGAATTGTGAGTTCATTATCAGGCCAAAGTAGTGGTAAACGAACAAAAAAGGTTAAAGGGAAATAACTGAGACGTCCGAAAGAGCCATGGCACCTGAAACTAGAACAATCTACCCGGGTGGATGAAATAAAGGATTCACTTCGAAATGACCCGAATAAGGAGCGTACAACGGCCGAAAGGTTGTGAATAGGCAAATGAAGATGAGTATAACAATCCGAATAATGTAAATAATGCAAGAATAAATACTAAGATTAATTTTTGATTTTTTCGTCCTCATAGGTAAACGTGACCCGCAATGTTTTTCTGCAAATATGATACACACACACACACACACACACACACATATATATATATATATATATATATATATATATATATATATATATATATATATATATAAAGTGTATATAACCCCTCCCTACAAGCCTAGAGAAACTTAAGCAAAGAATCACTGAGGTGCCGGAGAATGACGCCATTTATCTTTTATCCTTTCCTCAGTCCTCTTTATAGCCAGTTTTTTCTCTCACTTTCACAATCTGTAACCCTCTGCGGACTAGTGGAATTTCCACCTTGCTTGTGATGAAATGATTTTTTAAAGGGACACGAGGACAGTCAACTAGAGTAGCTAGCTTATGATGTTTGTGTTGAACTATAGAGTAACGCGCTCGTCTCGCCGTTTCGTATATACGTTAGAATCATATTTTATTTTTGTGTTACCGCCTGTGCATGCTCTCGAACAGAGTTCAATAATATGAGGGAAAAAGAAACATTAATCTCTTGATACACCTGACAAAATTCTGTAACCATATTTGAAGAAGAAAAAAAAATCTCCAAAACATAACGTAACTTTCAGAAATTATCTTCCCAATTCCCAATTTCAGCGTTTCCTTCTTTGATAAAATCCAAATTGTTTACACGGCAATTTCGCGGGGATGTCATATTTTCTTCCATACACCTATTTTCCCCAAAGGTGCAACGTCGCAAAACCGTCGTTACTCTGTTGTTATTTCCATGTCGAAGATTAAGACGTGCTCCATTCTTTAGTTCTA